GATAGACATGTTTTTGGTTACTGTAATTATGACCTCGTTTTTAATTAAAAATCAAGAATTTTTAGTAACAAGGGTGGTCCTTTGGTGTTGCGTGAAGATGTGGGGGTTTTCTGAATCTTCTAAATCGGTCGTTGAGGCAGAATATGAAATACCACCTGTATCACCTCGACGTCTGTCGTTCCACAACTAAGTGTTTTAGGGCAGTTATACCACTACAAATTTATTTCCGAAGCAATTCGATTTAAGGACTTTCAAGAAAAGAGCGTACCAAATCTTAAAAAACCGGCAACACACTTGCAAGCCACACAGCCACCAGTGTGTGTCCATGGAAAGTGGTATCGCTAAACTTTACTCCTGCCTATTTGTATTAAAAAACAATATACAAAAAATTCTGTGTTAGCACTGAATCGGACGTTCCTATGTTCCAGATTCAAAAAGTTTATCATAAACAAATTCCATAACAGACAATTGTTGCCATACGCAAGGCGCCACAATAACCTTCAAAATAATTGCCAGCTAATTAATTTAAAACTACGCTTCAACCAGCCTGATGGGATTATCATAATGTAATATCTTGATTTAATGGTCCGTGCATAATTAATTTAAGGCCTTTTGAGGTAACGGGGCTTAGAATCACCTTTCGTTTTCATAATAGGGTTCTTCTATTATCTATGACCTGTATTGTCTATGAAACATAGACATATTAAAAAATAATTGGCCATAGATTAAATCAGCATTAACACACTAAAAAGTTTGTATATTTATCAAAAATTGTTTGTAAAATAAAAATGTTAATTTTTTACACTAGATCAGATTTTTATGCTTGCAGTAACTAGAAATCAAAGAATAAATAAGAAAAAAATCTGTATAAGATAAAAATGGCATTATCTATATTGTACAACAATCGATGTTTATAACTTCAATTTTATAATCAACATAGACTATACACTACACATGAAAAGATAAGATATAATCTTTCATTCATTTCTTATCGGTCAACACTCAGCATGTTTGTTCATAAGACGTCGAATGGTACCTCCTTTGGCCTTTTTAGTCCGAAATATGAGTCCTGGAACTAGATACAATTTTACAAATAATTTTTCTCAGCAACAATCGTATTTTAAAAAGTATCTCGAGCTTTTTGACGTTTGTATAGAGATAATGATTTGAAAGTTCGATTGTCTTCGCGTTTTAGAGAGCGGACTCTGTGGCTAATATTTCCTTGTAACAGACGAATTCAAAGTCCTAACCTAACCTATCCATGTAAAAACGGGGGCTGAATAAAATGCCTAAACCCATTCAAGATTTTTATAATATTGTAACGTGCTAAAGGATCCGATTAAAAATGTCGTAAAAGTTTGGTTTATTTTTAAATAAATCAACGAGGAACTTAACTACTTAACTTAACAGCAAGCTGAAAATGTCTCTTGTGAAAAAATCGAGAAACATTTGAGTCAACAATATCACATTTGTATCAGTCAAATTGAAGTGAATTTGACCACGATAGATAATCTAAAAAATTGCGTTAAAAAAGTATTTTTTATAATGTGTTTGATTTGAGAACCCTTTTAAGTAAAAAAAATACCTGTGTCAGGGTTGAAAGTCAATTTTATACAATATTTTTAATGATATGGCCTGGTAACAAGGCCTTTAATTTTGGGCCCCACGATTTATGTAGTTAATAAACATTTTTATTATTTCAACAAATTTTATTATTTCTTGTCTATGAAAACTTAACGTTTGGTTTATTCAAATTCATTAGTCAAAGACAATATTACAAACAGTTGTATGTAATTAGTAATTACTAAAGACCTAACACCTTTGCTCCATGATTGAGACAATTATTTGCGTAATGACGACTAATTGTCATTACAGCTAACTTTAACCATAGTATAAACGAGCTGTAATAGTAAATACTGAAGATATGTACTGTCTACCAAGTGCTCTTTCCACATGCGTATTTGCGATACAGTTTATTTTATAAATATGACGAATATTTAAAAGATCCTAATCCTTGGGATTGATTTGCTCAAGTTCAAACAATTTGTATGACTCAAAACTTAGCGATTAAAAATAGTGGCGGACATTTTCTTACCAGTTCTTCTTGCCCGCTCTACGCCCTTGACTTGCGAACTGGTAGTAAATGTAAATTTAGATTTAATTTAACTTCTTTTATGACATTCATAGGTATACTTGTTTACCTATATGAATAAGTTATTTTGAGTTTGAGCTAGGATAGAGTAAGGTTCAGAAGCTTAGCGCTAATCAGTCCCGTATGTCAAAACTTTTTGACGTTGACATACGGAAGGCTATTATACGACGCGGATTACGGGACTTCATACGTATTTGACAGTTATACTTTCTCTACGCCCATTCTCCCAGCTTAAAAATTACAGACATTAACATAACCATAGATTGTAAAGTAGGGATGTAACGAAGGTATTGTTGTAAGCGAATGCCAAATCTATATTGATGAAATTTATAATAGATGGCTCAGTGATATTTCTTTTAATTTTTTTCTTATCAGGAACAGTTCTTGATTCTCGATTTCATGACCACTAGCTAAACCAAGGGCTTAAAAAAGCTTTATTTTGCACATTAAATCTTTAACCTAAAAAAAACTCTATAAGTATCTGATTGCCCTCCTTGTAACATGTGTAATGTTTGAGAGCAAAAAAATCTGTTTGTGTTTTGTTTCCGCGAAAAGCCTAGAGCAATTGCGAAAGATAATAGAATAATTACATAAAAAATAACATATTTATTTTATAGACATTTATTATATAACAAAGGAAAATGGATGAATTGCGTGATGCATAATGACTATTTCTAAATTGTGGTACGTTTCCCTACTTTTCCTTATATCTATGACACGATTGGTAATACACAAAAACGCATATGCATATGACACAACCAATTCGGACTTGAGATTGACTTAATGTCCTATGACCCCTAGATGGGTCAGAGGGCGTCCACAGTGAGTCTCCATCGCGTTCGGTCTGGACCTTCGTATTTACCATGCTCCAAGTCTTTCCGGTTCTCTTTGCCTCATCTGTACGACGCCAGGTTTGCCTGGGACGGCCACGCTTCCGCTTTCCTTGCGGGTTCCAATCAAGCGCCTGCTTGGAGATATAAATGGAATCTCTTCGGAGTGTATCCATTTACACTTGCGTCGGAGTTGCGTCTTACGGCGAGGACAGCGGTTGACGAAGACTGTACTGGACTTCGCACTGACAATAATAGGCTATTTGACAAGATGTTAAAAATCTGATTAATATATTAGTGACTATAGAGCAGTGTTGGCCTAGTGGCTTCAGCGTGCGACTCTCATCCCTGTGGTCGTAGGTTCGATCCTCGGCTGTGCACCAATGGACTTTCTTTCTAGGTGCGCATTTAACATTCGCTGAAATGGTGAAGGAAAACATCGTGAGGAAACCGGCTTGCCTTACAGATACAGGAACAGATACAGAAATCTAAGGCCCAGACTTAAAAAAAGGTTGTTTCGCCACTGATTTATTTATAGAACCTATACTCGTATATAAATTTTTATGTTTATTCCTAATAAATATTAGCTATTAAAATTTAAATCGCTAATCTGTGACTGTTTAGTCACGTGATTGACATAAAATCATTGGTGTTATTTACGATTTTATGATACATTAACGATTACTTACAATTTATTTTACATATAACGCTTTTTAGAGAAAACCTTTACTTACAAAATAATTTTTAAACTGAAACGCCAATCGAAACAGACTTAACTTATATGAAATGGAGAATGCATATAATATGTGGGTGTGTATTAGTATCTGTAACTGAAGCGTGTTAGAATCGGCTTGATTTAGTGGCATTAAATGTCTGTGTTTTAAGGATATATATACTGAAAGTGTTTCTTCAAATAGTAGATATGTGTGTGTCCTATTATCGCATTGGTTTGAACCTCCAAACCGTCATACATAGGTATACGTTTGCTCTTATATAATTCACGGAGCAGGTAAAAAGATATGAACCGAAAATTACAAAACGAATCCCGGTGGAACCAGTTCCCGTGGGCATAACGGTTCAGGTCATTGACATTCATCGTTAATTATACAGGATACGTTTAGCTGACGCGAAAAAGAGGTTTAAATGCGCTAATAATAGCTAGTTCATTATTTCGAATGGAAGAACTAATAATAATGGTAAAGAACTAATAAATCTACTAAATGGCTTAGTCAAAATTAACCACTCTAAGCGTGGCCTTGGAGTAATTAACTTAAAAAAAATGGAAGTACAACCTGCTCTGTGCTTCAGGCTTCTGTATCTGTTTCGTGATATTTTTTTGCTGTTGGTTGATCGACCTTCTGCGCCTGACATGACGTAGAGTTTTTATGTCATGCTACCCTCTCGTTTCCTTCACCGTATGAGCAAGTGTTAATGCACACAGAAAGTCCATTGGTGCACTGGAATCAAACCTACGACCGGTTGAGAGTCGCTCAATGTGTCGTAGTGTAGTCTATATATATAAAATAAATAAATAAATCAGTGGCGCTACAACCTCTTTAGGTCTTGGCCTCAGATTTCAGAATCTGTTTCATGATCATTTTTAAATATCTAAAAGGCAAGTAGGTAGGTGATCAGCCTCCAGTGCCTGACACACGCCGTCGACGTTTTGGGTCTAAGACATGTCGGTTTCCTCACGATGTTTTCCTTCACCGTTCAAGCAAATGTTAAATGCGCACATAGAATGAAACTCCATTGGTGCACAGCCGGGGATCGAACCTGCGACCTCAGGTATGAGAGTCGCACGCTGAAGCTAGGCCAACACTGCTCTAGTCTACTATATATATATATATATATATATGTATAGTTTAATATTCTGTTTTTGTGTATAGTCTGGGGATCGAACCCATGGTCTCAGGGATGCGAGAAGCTCAAATTTAAAATTGTTGTCGTAATGTTTAAATTGACTTTCTTAATATATGATTTATTGTTTCAGTTTGACGACTTCGTGCGATCGCTAAATGTGGACCCACACTCCCCCCCTCTTTAGGCTAGTTACCGATGGACAACCACCACTCAGGTATGGGATTATTATAGTTCGATCTCCTGAGAGAAATATAGGCATTTTGGGTACTTACTTATTAACGCCACCGCGACAAAAATGCTGTTTGGTTAGGTGAGTATATTAATATTTATTATTCTTAAACTTTATTTAAATAAAATATTAATATACTCACCTAACCTAACCAAACAGTAATCAGTATCATCAAATTCGGGCGACGGATTTCTAAATCGTTACGTGTACCGCATTTTACTATTAAGTTTAGATACGAAGGGTCAAAACTCGATACATTTTTGATGTACGGAAACCAGACTTAGCGCGTCACGTTTCAGAATCTACATAAAACATTTTGACATACGAAATAACTTTCATCATCATCGAGGCAGGCTACGAAAATACTGTATCACCTCGACGTCTGTCGTCTGAGCGTTTTTAAAGGCAGTTTTTGCCACGCACCACCGCCTTGTGGATCCAGCTGTGCACTGAAGAAACCAATTCGACAGGGTCCTTTAAGAAAAGAGCGTACCAATTCTTAAAAGTTAGGCAATGTACTCGCGAGCCCTCTGGCATTAAGTGTTAATAGGAATTATGTCTATCACTTAACATCAGGTGGGCCTCCTGCCCGTTTGCCCCCATTCCTATATAAAACTGCTTAATGTATTGTTTATATTATATAAGGCAATTTATTGATAAATATATTTACAAATAACGATGTCAACCCGTCACCGATACAGATCGATTCTACCTAAGACCTGTCAAAATAATACGATCTTTATCAATTTTAAATTCCAATTAAATCATTTAGGTTAAAAAGTTAAATATACACATTAAATCTTATATATTTAGTTTTAGTTTATTTCGTATGTATAAACCAACCCGTGTCATATTATGTCTACTGCTCTTACCAATCTATGTCATCTAATGACTCTTATAATCTGTCGCCCTCTGTAATTTATTCCACGTATTGAACGTAACTTTAAAAGAAACCATAGACCACATAAAGAATACATGACACATGGAAATCGGTTGAGTAAGGTCAACGTAAACAGATCAGCCATTTCCATATTTAACTGATCGTTATCACTTCCGTTTTTTACTAAATTTAAATAATCAAATAGCAATTGTTAAACATTTTAAAAATAGATTACTGTGGTTATGGTAATTCTTTATTACACATAACCTCTATGTATTAACATTGATGCTGGCAGCTCACCCGCTTATTATTATAATAAACTTTGTCTCATTTCGGAAACTCAAATGCTGAAATATGTATTTTTAGAAACAAACTTTACTTTAATCTAATTCCTTTAAAATACAAAATAATCCAACAATAAAAACTTCGGATAAAAATTTAAATGACAAGCCAAAATTAGCGTCTTTTACACAGACTAACAAACAAATTAAATGAAACGTCAGTTAACACGTAATAAATAGATAATTAGTAATCTAAAGAATCTAATCTAAGAATTATAATTATTTCTCTACATATATTAAGTTTTGTTTTTGTTTTTATGTGGTGTGTTAATTTGCGTGAATTTCAAATTGAATTTGTACCCAACAAAAAACCGACCTTTTACTGGATTTTTTGATGCTTTCATAATAGAAACAAATCTTATATTGAAATTAAGTTTTAAGTTTAAGTTAGTCATCAAAATGACATAATATTGTAACTGTATTGTTCTATTGTTATTATTTAAACAGATGCTCATTAGTTTTAAAGGTTAATAATAAATAAATACAAAGAAAATGGCTATTCACTAGTAAAGATATTAATTAAACAGACTTATCATAAAATTACGTAAGATAAGAGGAAAATCTTTGAAGGATGTTCATTATCATTTTTTATTGAAAGTATTATAACTGAAAGAATATTAAAATAATAAATAAAATGTGAAGTAATTAAAAGAATATTATAAATGCGGTGTTGCGAGTTCCTGTCTTCACCTTCTATGGTTTTATTGTCTTTGGTTTACGCAAGTAATAATAATAATAACCCATTTAGTTTACAAAACAGGATAAAAACAAAAAAAGATAGAATGGGCGGTCTAATCCAGACGTTAATAATCTAAAGATTTAAAAATACAATACAGAACTTGCAACTGAACTCAAAAATATATGCACAGAGTAATCGTGGTAAGTACGGATAAAAAACAAAATGATATTTACCTTTCGGTTTCCTGCCTATGTTTCTCAGCAATAACACAAGATATAGTATTTTCCTGTACCTAGTTCGGTAACTATGATTACCCTTGTATAGACGCAAGTTTTGTCAAAAAAATTACTTTTAAGGGCAATAAGTTTGTTTACAAGGTTCCGAAGGCGGATCAAAATATGGAGAACCATTGCTACGCAATTTAAAGGCCATATCGCATTTAATGTTACGATTGACTGGTTTGACATGACACCAAACATTCCATCATCCACATTAATTCTCCATTAACTAAATAAACAATAGAACATTCTCGGTTTTATTTTTAGAAACATAATTTAAGTTTTTAACCTATTGACAAATAAACTTTTTGCGTCATAGCTTTGTTAATAGGGTTTAGATTTTAGTTTTAAAGTCTTCTCGACTTATTATTGTTAAATTAGTCATTGTTTACGTATATTTTGTTTGTTTGTAGGAAATAAATTTGACTAAGATAAAATGTACTAAGTGGCGGCGTTTTCAGAATTGTAATCTGTGTCCGAAGTGACAATTGACTGTTGCACACGACATCTATGTTTGTCAAATTTATGGATGTCAGTGCCACAGTTGTCTTCTTGATTTTGCCGGGCTTCACATAGACTTGGTCTTTAATTTTTACCCTTTGTAAAATATTATTAACGATATCCTATTCGTTAAAATTCAAAGTAATCTTGCTGATAATATTTTTGTTTTCTAGCCTGTGTAAATATGTCTATGTAATTTATATTTTGAAGATTTATTATAAGGGTATGTTACAAAATTTCCAGACAATGTCTCCACCCAGAGGCGTGCAGCAAAGACCTCACATTACCCACATACTACGCCAGTTTCCACGACCTGCGCAAAGAGTACGTACGGGCATACACACTGCGAGCTGTCACGCCGCGTGCGCAGCCGCCGCCACCGCCGCCTGATCACCCGACTTCATTGCACGATATGCTAAATTGTATCCTTTATATATTACCATTTCAATAATTTCTAGTACTATAATACTATAAAATATATACTAGTACTATAATACTATAGTACTATAAAATTTTATTATTATTATTATTATTTTTTTAAATGTATCCTTATTAGTTGTTTGTTCCTGTTTAGTTTCTTTTTCTTAACAACTATAGGAAATACATGTATTTTTGCACTTTTTGCCTACCTTATGTAATTTAATACATTTTTTTTTCTTTTCTCACAGTGGTTGCCTGGAAGAGATCGCTCGAAAGCGATAAGGCCGCCAGTTGCCTTTCCTTTAAGTACTTGTAATTTTGTTAAATGTTTATATCATAAAGCAACAAAGTGTAAATAAATAAAATAAATAATAATTGCAGTGTTGAGGAACATTTTAGTAGCGTCAGTTCTTTTATATCTTATAATGAATGACTCCTACTCTAAGAAACAAGACTTCCGCAAAGTCTGATTCCGGAACATCTGGCCATAGTTCGTGTTTTCCAATAAACCAACTGGCTTGGTAACTTAATAATGCCAATTTTGAGACATCAATCTACTAAACGGATACTAAAAGTACTTATAGTAAAACTAGCAGATGTGACACGTCCTGTACACACGTCTTACATACAAAAAAAATCTAATAATCTAAATCACTTTCGACTCCACTAGAACACACAAAAAAAATTTCATCAAAATCTGTCCAGCTTTTTAGGAGTCTAATTACGAACACATGCACATAAGTTTTATATATATACCAGCAGTTTATTTGCTGTAAAGACAAATAACCTAGATGACCTGCAGCGCGATCTGCCGGGCTGATTTGTGAATCTAAACCATCCATCCATCCTATGAATACAAAAAAATTCATTCAAATCGGTCCAGCTGTTTAAGAGGAGTTCAGTGACATAAACCCATTTAATGCAATCAGCCCCGGGCCTCCTTAGAGAAGCCCCTACAATAGAGACTTGGTTTCACAATAATATTTATTGAAAAACTACTGAAAATAATTTGGTGCCTTACCCCATACTTTTTAGACCTCTTATTCGAGGCTTACTTTAGGGTCACTTTAAAAGCTCATTTAAGTTTAATTAAGCTATAATGGAGTAGTAGTAAGATTTATGACTAAATTACATAATATTAAACGTGCTTTATTGAAATAGGGTTGACACTTTAAGATTGATTTGGCATATTAATCTGTTTCAGTATATAATCAAAATATAAATAATTGAGCATTTAGCTGTAGATTTTCAGACTATTTTAAATGAATTTTGATGTAAAAATTTGTTGCAATTTTGTTTCCTGAAAGTCTTTATTAATAAGTATTATTCTATAGTTTTACCAACGCAGTAACAAAAAAAAACCCCATAAGTTGACTGTCAAAAATAATTAAAAACAAAAATAAACAAAGAAAGGTACTAGCTATCCAGTAAGATGAGCTTCATTTCTTCGTTAATCAGAAATGATACTTCTTAAAATTGTATGTAAACTAAATTTCATAAACTTAAGTAAAATTTATAATAAATAATATAATTAATGTCCAAATGTTCGTTAAAAATCGTATAATATATCAATGTATAAGATTAAATAGTAGAAAGTTTTAGCCATTTAGTAACGACCTCTTTGGTAATTTGTAATCTATGACAACCCTAATACGACGATAAATCTTGACATGGAAGCCATACCATGACCTCGTGACTCAACAAAAAAATAAACGCAAGAAAATAATTAATATTCATACAAAATTACGGAATATTCTAAAGCCAATTAGAAATATAACCGAGGCTATATACTATTTACATATGATAAATTGTATATTACCATGAAAAAAGTACGTTCACTTGACGTCAACTTTTCATATATACGGTATGACATAATATTTATATTAACTTCCCAAACATATAACAGTCAGTTCCTCTTCGACTTCCATCTTGAAACTGATCGCTAACTAACCGCCACTGTTTGAACAGTCGCCATTTTTGCGGTTAAAACCGCACGATCTCACAATCGCGCGGTTCCCGCCGTGTCTGAACGAGCACTTAATCTGCTAATTATATTTTATGACAGATTATATAAGTTTTATTAGAGAAGGGACCATTAGTCAGAAGTACCCATAAAGAACGAATGGTGCAATACGTCTCTACTTTTTTATAAATTAAATATTAACTTATTATATATTTTTCTACTAGGATAGCCTGTTCAACCCGTTGTTATACACTTGTTTTGTAATTTTTATAAAAGCTACCTATACTCTGATTTTTCTTTCCGTAGAATTCTGACATTTCATTAGTGTTGCTACTAAAAAAGTTCTCCACCGAAAAAGGGACATATTTGACCACTTTGAGGGCAATAAAATGAAATGTTACGTATTTTTTATGTTTTACCTACAAAAAGGTAAATCTTAATATTTACTTACTCAAGTGTCCTTATATGTACAAAAATAACAAATATTTCAATATCACGAACAATATAATATATCGAATTCACTTTAATTACTTTATTCTTATTCTTTAGCTGGCATCACTACATACTAATTCCAGGTTTAGTAAACCTTTTTAAGGAAGTAAAATGTTATCTTTACTTGCGTTTTACTGTTTGTTATGAAAAGGGACGTAACTATCAGTCGCCGTAAAACCACTTTTTATGTGGAGCACGCACTTAATAAAATGGATACATTCACTAACAAATAAAATGTATATATAACGTTAGATGTTTAGACTCGTATTGTAATCTCTGACCTGTAAAAAAATGATAGCTGTCAGAATTATACGTTAGACTATGCAAAACATTTTGTCGCACTCCTTCCATTCATTTAGGTAACACAATGTACACTTATGAACGTCAATAAAGAAATACATATTAAATGCTAAATGCTTCTAATTTTACATTTACTGCCAGTTCTCAAATCAAGGGCGTAGAACGGACATGAAGAACTGGCAATAAACTCTCCGCCACTCTTTTTAATCGCCAAGTTTTTTGCTTTTCACAATGTTTGTAAGTAGCTGCAACCATTACACCATGTTCCACATGACATCTAAAGTAATAAATAGTTAATTTTTAATAAAAAAAATATAAGCAAAGATTTGTCCTCTATCAGCAGTATGGCAGTATGGCATGGTGAAATAGGAGCACGCACTTACATTCTCATGGGAACAACACGCATTATTACTATTATTACATTTAAAATTTTGATTTCCACCCTGGAACTTTCAGCGTCTGAACAGCATTGGTAATTAAAAAACAAACGGCTTGGATCTTGAGCAGTTTAAGCTGTATTTATCACAATTATTTCCTTTTATATCCCGTTACCACTTTGCAATTAATAATTAAATAATTGTATTGATTAATCAATACCGGAAATATGATGACTTTATATTTTATTTTTATTCACGGCCAGTTACAGACATTCCCACGAGTCACGAGAAAGGCCTTTTAGAAAAAAAAAATTGATAAGATTAGGAAAAATTTAAACAATGCAGATAACGTGTGAATTTTAACAACAAAGACGAAATTATTAATTAAATCCATATTTTCGTCTAACCGCCTCTGGGTGGTTGAGATTTAACGCTAAATGTGATACACATATGTGAAAATACGTTTCTGATACGGGAGTTTCACTCAACTGTCTTGACTCTAAATCTAAAGCTGGGTTCTGACCAACGTTACGAGGTGTAATTTAACATTCGTATCCAGCATTAAAAAAAATCTGTTTATTCATTTTAAGTACATATGCATTACAATGTGTAAGATTTGGGAACCCTTTTAAGTAAGATATACCTGTGTCAGGGTTCCCAGCTCTTCCATAACAAACTTAAGTATAAATTCCTTAAAATATTTTTATATATAATTTAATTACATCTTTTATTTTATTTACTTTTCCACACTCGCATGAGTGAGTGTGTGGGTGCAAATGTGTGAGTGAATGAAGCATGTTAAGTTGTGTTCTAAAATCGGCGTAACATGCTCGTTTGAACTATGCGCCAGCCACTCTCAGGCAAGATGTCCGACAGCGAATGTTATAATGCTCTGGATGAGCTAGGTTCCACAACACTGGTTTTCACTGTATTTTTCTATAAAATACAGACGTTTTTCTTTGTCCAACTCCATTTTTTCAAGAAATAATACGAGAGGAACGTGTGCTCGTGACGACTTTACAGTGTACTGCCTGAACCGCGTATCACTCAAAGGATTCGTCATAAAACCGACAGCCGAGTGGAGCACTTCAAAGCAACTCGCTGGTTTCCCCGTAACACTACGTTCTGACTGCACGAATGCTCGCTGTGTAACAACATTACACCTCGCAACGTTGGTCAGTACCCAGCTTAACGCTTAGATCTGTAATATTCAATATTTTTTTACCTTGACGGAAGTTAATTAGGCCCTGTATAGTAAGCTAATTAAAATAGTAAAATCAGAAACAATAATAGCTACATGGCAATTATTTAACCAATTACCGTCTAAAATTCGTAATATAAGCGTGTTTAACCAATTCAAAGGGCCATTAAAGAAACATATCAGAATGAGCCTAGTAGACTAAAATTGGGACGGCTGATGGCGATTGGCGACGTGCATCTCGTTCGTATTTACATATGTAGGGGAGCGTGGGGCTAGTTGTAACAATTTTAACAAATAATTGAATATCATGAAGAATATTGGCTAAATTACTACTAAATAAACTTTGATCGATACTCTAACTATTTATCTATGAAGTCGAATCGAAATATTATCAAATCTACAGGTAACTATCTCACAATTATTTTTTTTCTAAAAAAAGAGAAGTGTTACAACTTACCCCGTGGTTGGGGCTAGTTGTAACAACAAAAATGACACCTTCAATCGTTTAATTTTTTCACATCTTGGATCATTTTATCTCTTAGTTCTACCTTACATCTTACCATCGCAGATTTGTTAACTTTTCCTTCCCCTTTCACTTTTCTTTATCATCTTCTTTTTGCATTTTCTTCATCTTTTCTTCATATTCTACTCTCAAAGCTTCATTTTCAGGCGTATCAGTCAGAACAGCAGACTTCCTTTTGCGTCTGCAATTTATATTTGTTTTTCGTGGTGGCGCCTTTGGTAATGGTCTAACTTTTGATGGGAAAAATTGATTTTGACCAGAGCAACTTGGAGTTAGTTTGTTCGCAGTTTCAATGTGGCGTATAATTTCTGTTGTGCTGATATCCACTTCAGGAGCAGAATCTAATAGTTCTGGATGTTTAAGACTCAACGATAAAGAAATTCTCACTTTCATTTAGAACATTTTCTGATTGTTATGTAGGCTCTGGATGATCAGTAACATAAGAGAGCGCAAAGTCACTATCTTGGAAAATATCAACATTCAAAGGCCAAATACCAGAAGCTTTAAGTCCACTGATAATGACTCCTTCACTACACTTGGGATGTCATAAATTGTCATCGTTTTTCCTGGATTATTATACATCCATGCAGTCTGTGCTCTGTTCACGTAGTTTTTAAAAGGCCCGTAGACTCCTACATACATAGGTTGAAAATTGTGGGAGCAATGGGAGGAAAACTATAACATGATAACATTGTTTTCTTTGGCTTTTTCGACAACTGAGCTGACACTACTCACAACTGAGAGACAACATTCACATGTGAGCCATGATTATCGAGCAGTAACAGAACTGGCTCTTTCTTGGTAGGTTTCGCGTGTTTGATAAAGTGATCTACAAAAATCAAAAATTCTTTATCAGTCATCCTCCACCCTGAAGAATTGCCAGCTCCAATGCAATCTTCAGGTCCACCGCGAATGAACATTTGTGAGTATTTAAGCCGGGGAAAACTGAACATCGGCCGTCAGTAACTTACAGCAATCTGGGGGCAAATTGTAACATGTTACAACAAACCCCGAGGTTTTGTTACAACTAGCCCCTTGATAGAGTTCTTAATATTTATCACGATAACTATTAAATTAACTTAGTAATCTTGAAAACTGTTATACAACATCATAAATAGTTATATTTTAGCATAAAATAAAATACATAAAACTTCAAAGTTACGAAAATAGTGAAACTAACCAAAAATTTACGTTAGTAAAATTATAGGTTTCCTGTCAACAATTAAGCGTTTGCACACACCCACTCACTGAGCCGCCTGGTAGGACCCTGGCTGTGGTAAAGTGGCGTGGCACGTTATAAGTTGAAGATTAGGTAAAAAAAACCGTGAATAAAATTCAAATTCCTATTGAAAAAGGTCTGTTACTATTTACCCCTGTAACAACAAGCCCCGCGCTCCCCTATTAAGTTTCTCATGTAAATAAAATACAATATTTTTTTGTAATGAGAAATAAAGTTCTTTAAACATTAAAGAATCCGCTCCGTGGGCATATTTAGAAGTAAACAGAAGTATAATTGGTTTGATAATCAATTCAGCTGTTAAATCATTTGCCTTGGGAATACTTTACGATACATTGTAAAGTTTGAACTATCAAATCTGTCAAAATGTCAGTTGTTATTAATGATGTATGTAAAACACTAGCCGAACGATGTGTTTAGTTCCAAATACGCCCGTTGCATGAGCTTTCCATAGAAGCTTGTTCTATAGTATCGAGTATTTCATGTTACGTTTTACATAATAGTTGAAATTGTGATTTTTCATATAAAAAAGCGTATTTAGTTGGTACTATACATATAAATACTGAAACTTCAATTTCTAAAGATTTTAATATCACTTGCGTAGCTACATGGCCAGTCTCAATAGCGGGAGTAGGTCTTAGAACTTCTACAAAAATCTCATTTGATAAAAATCCTTGCACTAAAACACAAAAAGATAAAAAAATTGCGCCTTTTAGGGCTGGTACTGGACTTCTGTATTTGTTTCGTGAACATTATTTTTTTTCTAATAGGCAAGTAGGAGATCTTCCGACAGACGCCTTCAATTTTTTTAAACATAAAATATGTTCATGAGCATATCCAGTAATCGAACCTTCGACCTCAGGTATGAGAGATCGCACGTTCAAACCTCTTACTTTAATAACTTCAACAATATTAATGACAATAAAACTACGTAACGCCTTGGTTCGGATTATAATATTCCTGAACCCAATTCAGATTTAGGCATAACACCCTATGCAGGCGAAAACTTCTACGCGGCGGAAGTGAAAGACATGGCGGCGATCATTCAAAGGATTATCACAGATGGTAAGGTTCTCAAGTTTTTATACATTATATCGCCATCTCAAACTAACAACTAAATAATCATACTTCATGGGACCACTTAAATTTCAGAAGGTTTACTAGAAACCTTTTTTTAAATCCGAGTACTTTAAGAGTGAGATTTCCTCCAAAATCCGATTAGGGTAAAAATCCGTCTTCACCTTTACTTCGTACTTCGCTCACTCCAGATTGACCACCCCGCGATGGTCCAAGTCGAAGTCCGAGTCTTACAGGAGATGTCCTTGCACTAAAACTCTTAAGACTTGCGTTGCGGGAAAATGCCCATTCCGGGTTAGTTCTCTCGCCAAAACAGCCCGAGTTGAGTTGTAAAAGCCCTTCAGGCCAACAACAATCCATTAAAAAAACAGAAGAAGACGCAGAAACCTCGTATTTCATGTTTTGACGTATGGAAGTCTGAGATGGCAAGACTCGTTTCCGAATGTTACCCTACATTTCGTGTTCTGGATTCAAAAACTTACACAATTTATCTGTTTAAACGGCGGAGCTTCCTACTATTCTGTCTCTATTTATTATTTATCACAACCAGTGGCTCGGCGGAGATCGGAAGTTTTTTTCCTACCAATTTGTGTGTGAGAACTCTCTATTTGCACTCTAAGAATAATTAAAAGAGTAGCACGACTGCTTTAGTACCTACTCCATCTTCTCTTTTTAACCAATTGTGCTTACATTGTGATAAAAAGAAACAGATTACTTTAGTTAGCTATTATAAGTCAAGGCCTATATTTTAATTGGGTCACAAGGAGATGCACAAGGATGTTTCGAGACAAGAAATTTAAATGACCTTAGCGTTCAGATATCATGTGCAAAAAATTCATTACCGTATAGTTCTTGCATAAGTTTTTGTATACAATTTAATTTAGTAATTTATATTTAATATTTCAGGTTTCCGCTTGGAGTTGCCAGAGACGATTGACTTAGTTTTAGAAACTGGAATTTGGTAAGAACTTCCTTAATCTATTTATCTTAACATGAACTACATTTTTTTATTTATTTACACTTCGTTAACTTATACAAAAACATACATATAAAAAAAGTTATATAAGCTATTAGGCATTTGGCGGCCTTATCGCTAACAAGCGATTTCTTCCAGGCAGCTCTAGTATGAAACACCTACAGTGGGTAAAGTACAAGAAGTGCATAATAAAAAAGAGCATAAAATAACATATAATACATACTAATATTAACATTCCAAGAGAACATTTCTTAAAAATACAATTAATAAACATAGTTTAAATATTATACGCATTTAATAACGACTATTTTTAACTATTATGAACAACATTAACTATTTATGATAAAAAATAACGCCTTTGAAATTATTATAGCAATTACGCCTGGTGACCGTTGATAATAATTGTTAAGGCGGTAACATCACTTTAACCAACTCTTTAATTCCCAGTCGCATTACAAGATTGACTTAGCTATTTAACTGTGTTAAGTAAAGCACTTATGACCACTCTATAGTCTATTTTTCCTTGACTCGACTCCATTTAGTAGGCAGGATATATATAGTGGATGCCTGGACAAAGGTAATTAATCCATAATTTTCGTGTCCCGTGGTGATCTAGGTGATCAGGACTGTCAGTTTTACGTACTCATTCGAAGTGTGAAGCTTCTAACACCACCATTTTGTATTGATGGTTAGAAAGTAGCTTATATTCAGTTGACATTAGTTATTCGAACCCGAGTCTGCAAATCTCCTTTACAGTTGAAAATGAAGCAATAATACGCCCCTGACCAATAAATTAATTTATTTTTTGTTTTAAAGGTCATGAATGTGACTTTGAAAATAAAAGTTATTTGAAGGAGAGGTCTTAACAAAAAGCGCTTGAAAAAATAGAGATACATTTATAATATTATGAAGTTTTGACGTTAAGCAAACTGAGTGGTACAACCACTTGTTACTTTAAACTCAAAAATGCTTTACAAAATAGCCACTTAAACTAGAACAATATTCTGTCCTTTCTTTGGGTATCTATAAATTATGTCAAGGCATGTTAAGTTTTAAGTTAACAAAAACTCGGCGTGACATATGAGAAGTGCTGACTGAGAAAACAACACCGTACCACGTTCGCTTTTGTTTTTCTGTCGTATTACAGTCGCTGTGGTGTCGCTAAGGGTGATTATACAATAATGTTGATTTTGTGAAGTTTTTGTACATAGATCACTTAAATGTTTTTGCAAAACCAAGTTACTGTTGGAAATAGGGATTATGTATTTAAGAATTATAAATCTGTCCCAGGTTTGTGTTTTGTATATATGTATTTCTAGAATGATTTTCGATTTAATACGAAAATTCGTATGACATGACCTTAGCGATTAAATTAAATACTAAAAACTTCTTAATATAGGTACTAATTGAAGATTTCCTCATGACCTTTTTAATTGGAATGCGTCTTTATTACCATATAATACGGTGCATTTTTCAACAACAATTATAAACATATGTATGTATTTGGAAACGATTGGACGTTGTTATTGTCAAACTGTTAATTTTTATTACAACATTTATTAATGTATACATACAGTTTTTATAGACAATAGTTAACAGAGTGGTGTTAATCATTTATATTGCATAAGTAACGATTTTCACTGTTGTGGTAGTGTTGTTTTGTATAGTGTATTTAAATTTCGCATTTTATACACGCCCACTCATTTGCCATACTCTTCATCTTCTACTCTCAGTGTACAATAATACAACACCATACGTGCTATAGACAGTAGAGAATATCTATAGTTGGTCAAACTCCAAAAATTTTCGTCTACTATAATATTTATAATAATAGTTAAAACAAATGAAATTCCAATCTCGTTCCAGTTGTGTTACGAATATTCAAATATTGTTTATTTGAAGTACTCGTATGCTTAGGATATTGCTTTTGTAATCATTTTAAATTTAAACATAATGTATATAGTAGTTTTGGTAAGTTGGAAATTACAAAATGCATATTTAATAACAAGTTCGGCAGTTACAACTTAGCAACTTAAACAAAAATGAGACGTTGATAAATTATAAAATGGATCATATAATAAATACTGAGCAGTGTAATAGCCAAATGGGCAGTTACTAGTGGGCCATCCTTAAATTAACCTAACCTAAAACTGCTTAACTATTTATCTATATACGATGTCTATGTCTTACTGTCGCACAAATTTACCAACCAGCAATAAAAAACTTCTCGTTACAGTGCAAATAATTAATTCCCATTATTAATGGAAATCTAAAAGTGCCAACGAATAGAACGTAAACATAGGTACTATCATTAGAACAATAATAACGTTAAAAATACAATACTCATATAAACATTAAATAAAAATCAATATCGTGCACGCGACCCCTAAGTCTTATCGCAAGCAAAAATTAATAACATTTCTTAATACAAGGAATCGACTCAAGCGCAACGTCGTCAAACTTTATCGCTGCGTTGTGCGCATTCTTAGTTCAAACGTCCACCGAAACGGACGTCTTAGTGTAATTAAGTTTAGTGTTTGTGATACTTTTGGAGACTATCGTCATAGATAAGGAGGTGAGTTATGATAGCTCCTGATAATTGGTCCGGTTTGACTGATATGGTCACTGGAAACACTGTATGGTACTTGAGAAATATTTGGACTATGATAATGTATTGGTTTTCGACTGTGGGGACACTTAGTGGACCTGTTAAATTTTGTACCAGTACAAAAATAATACGCATATTATGGTGTGTAACGTCAAATAACGACAAATGTTTTTCAAAACAATCGCTACGTTAGAAATGTTAAATTATTATTGACCGAATCGACCGACCGAAGGCGTCAGTTTCTAAGGCGATAACAGTTTAATACATTATTCACTTGTTTTAACTTAAGTGAAAAACGACCTATAATCCTATCTAAATTATCATTCCTACAATGTATAATTATTATCGGTAGAATGGAAATAACCCCGACTAGGTAGTCTATGATTTATGCCAATGTAAAAACAGAAAAATAGATAGTTTTATAAATCGTAATATACCACTTGTAATGGCGTCTTTATTTTACAATGGATTTTTTTTATATATAAATTGTCTTTGCACAGTTACCATTACGATCTAGCCTAACTTAAGACTAATAAGTAATTAAAAAACTAACATGATTTCCTAAAAATAATATTTAACAAAAAATCCAATAAAGCTCTGTTCTTGTATACAATTTTTTACCCCCTTTCCAATGTTTGGCACTTAAGACTTTCGTGCACTAACACTAATGAACTAATTCGATTATTTTTGTCTTTTTCAATCTACTCACTAGGCCCGTGGTGTTAAGGAAATTAATACCCTCGACATTCACGTCTGCTGGAGCCTTTTTATTATTGTGGTGACGTCTACTTTAAGGTCCCGATGGAGGTCTTCAAAATGATAATAAAAAAAAAATATGCTTCGGTCTTGACATCTGTAGACTCTTATTGGGCGTGCACTGCTTACAATTATTGTTGCATCCCATCGCATAATGCTTTAGAATCTTTGTTTGTAATAGTGTACATGTCCACGCAACAAATGAATGCTTAGACGTTCTTATCAGAGGTTGTCTTGCATCATATCATTGCAGTACCCCTTAGCTGTGCACAACCATTTCCTGATCTGCATCCAAGTACCTCTAGCTGTATCTGGTCATCTACCTACCTAATGGACTTTTTACGCTTCTACTAATATCCATTCTAGAACTATTTCGCCTCAACGCTCAGCGATTGAATTGGCATTGGTTACGCAGATGTTTTCAGTTTTTTTTAAGTACAATTTTTTTTCCATCAAAAAAATCTGGCCAAGTTAAATGTGGAGACTTATGTCTGGCAAACGCGCTAACGGCTTTGTCTCTTCGAAATTCGGATGTAATAACAACAACAATTGTTCATCACGAAATAGACTTTTTTTACAAAGTAATGGAAGTACAAGTACAAGTTTAAATGAATGCTAAATCTTAAGATTTATGTCTAGTTGTACATGAATGGACCTTTGCAAACAGTCATAGGTTACAAACTTAAATAATTTTAATACTCATCAGCGCAATAAAAGTCAAAATCATTTATTCATTTAGGTAACACAATGTACACTTATGAACGTCAATAAAGAAATTCATATTAAATGCTAAATGCTTCTAATTTTACATTTACTCCCAGTTCTCAAATCAAGGGCATAGAACGGATGAGAAGAACAGGCAATAAACTCTCCGCCACTATTTTTAATCGCCAAGTTTTTTGTTTTACAAAATGTTTGTAAGGAGCTGCAACTATTACACCATGTTCCACATGTCGTCTTAAGTAGTTAAAAGTTAATTAATAAGAAAAACAAAGACTTGTCCTCTATCACCAGTACGCATGGTGAATAAAGATCTAGGTGACTAAAATTAAAGATAAAGTTACTAGTATACGCTTTGACATCCCTTAGACGTCACTTTCAAACTATTGTCATGCTAAGATTTCTAGAACAACGCTTACATGTTTTGGAAAATTGCTACGCATTGCCGATTAAAGAAAAATTAACTCATTCACATAATAAATATAGAAAGTTGAAAGCAGGAATTAGGGGCAAATATCTTTACTGTTTGTGGGTGGTTAATATGTCCATTTATGATTTGCATCACCCCGAGTTCAAGGGCGTCAATATTTTACCAAAATGGTGTAAACATAGATACTGCTATCATTTTATTTAAACCAAGGTTTTGGTGATTTGCTAGTTTTTGGCGGCTTGCTTGTAGCAATTACAAAAATAAAAACTTCTATTTAATATATACCGTGTGTATATATATATGTGTTCTCTTAATATAATTTTTTTTAATGAATAAATGGGGAATGAATCTTCCAAATTCTAACAATATATTAACTCCTACCTGAATGTGTTTATTATTGGGTTCTAGTATTATTTTATCTTCACAGTACGGGTGACACATTACTTTTGTGGTTGTCACGTGTAGAGACAAAATA